AGTTTTTTTTTTTTTTTTTTTTTTGGTACCAGGAATCGAACTTGGGACCTTGTGGAACCACTGAGCTAAATCCCCTGCCCTGCAGACATTTTTGATTTGATAAACAAAGTAGGTGCTGTCAGCATCCGGTGTGTAGAGGCCAGGGCACTGCTAAATCCCCTGTAACACACGGAACAGCCCACAGCACGGAAAAACCTGGCCCAGATGCCAGCGGTGTGGACTGGAGCCCTGTTCTAGGTCTGCGGCTGTGAGCCAGTCCCTGCCATCACTGTGCCTGCACTCTAGTGAGAAATACGTGCAGGCCAGGAATGTTAGGTAGAGGACGAAGCAGGCCAGAGAGCTCTTGGAGCCGGGAAAGTCCATTGGAGCAGGAGGAAATGGGGAAACGAGAGCAGAAGATGCCAGGGGCACAGCACTCAAGCCACAAGCAAAAGCAAGTGCGAAGGCTTTGAGACACACATGCGGGTAAATGTGTGTGTGTGTGCGCACACACAGGCACACGCATGTGTGCAGAAAAGCGGCCAACTAGGCATAAGAGTGAGGGCTGAGGTGACATGCAGAGTAGCACTGAATGTAACTCACACGACGCTAGGGGGGAACCACCTCCTCCCAGGACAACCATCCTGACTACTCCTCTAGGAAGCGTTGTATGGGGAGGGACAGAAGGAGTCACCCAGCCCCGGAGAGGAACAATGCTCCGGGATAGGGCCACCCTGACACAAGAAGACCAGGCTGGTTCCCTATCCACATCGACAGATGAGAAAACAAAGGCTTCACTAGCTTGGCCCAGAGCTAAGGTCTTAGTGCCCATGACATCCCAGGAGTGTGGCTTGGGGAGAACTGGAGCTGGGCCGCAGAGCTGAGCGCCAAGCTGAGAGCGGAGGACGTGGGGGTCCGGAATGAGTGGCATGCAGTGAAGGTGCCTACACCCAGAGCCACAACCTCAGTCAGTACACAGGTGGCCCTGGGGATGTCAGGCTGGGGACAAAGAGACACACAGATGGCAGAAGGACAGAAGAGGCCCCGGGGCCAGCAGGTAGCCCAGCTCACCTGACTGCACCCTTAAGTCAGCCTCAGAGGCCCCCAGCTCTTCCTTGACGTGATGAGGAGGCAAACAGACTTCTGGAGGGCAGCTGGGCAAGACCCTGACGATAGACATCCCTCTCACGGCTGCCCACCCGAGGACACCAAGTGCTCACCCATCCGGTCAGCTTCCCTGGCCAGTTTGGAAATGAATTCATGACTCACTAAATGAACAGTGGGTGCATCCCACACCAGCTGGCAAAACGGGCTGTGAAAGGGTCAGGTGGAAACAGCACAGTCAGTCTGCACCCCCACCCCGCAGCCAGCTCGGGTCTCCTTGGGGCTATTTCTGCAGCCCCGCGAGTTACTGCCAAGCCTGCTGTGTGGCAGGAGCCTATGGGACAGTAGTGGGGACACAGGCACAGGAGGGTCTCCTGAAAAGAGGTTTCGGAGTCACAGCGCCCCGGGAATAAGCACCAGCCAGGACGGAGGTTGTCACTGAGCCGGCGAGTCACCCACCTGGGCGGGCACGGCGAGCCCCGTGGCCCAGAGCTGCAGTCCGA